CCCCCCCCCCCCCCCCCGCCCAAAGCAATCTCTTAGTTCCTAATCATCTAGTTAGACAAGCAAACAAGGAAAGCAATTCCGGTATCACAAAGAAAAAAGAAAGGATAAAATATTAGTCAATATTTATTTGGCTATGATACTAGTAAAATCTTAATATTCTATACAAACCTTAAATAAGTAGTCCAAAAGCCATCATACATCTTATTTTTAAAATCTTATACAATAATATACTTGTTATAGAATAATTAAAAAAACAATAAAATAAAGATGAGAAAAATATGAGAGAAAGAGATGAAACCTTATTATTTCTTCAAGTGTATGTCATAAAAAAAAAGGTAGAGCACCTTTTATAAGATGAAAAATCATATGTGAGTCACAATATTATCTATATTATATTAAAAGCACGAAACCGCTTAGCGAAATATCGTTCGTCTTTTTTATCCTTTAAAAGTAAATTTTATAATGGATAAAATAATTATTTAATTATTTCCCTAATATTTAGGAATACTTGTTTAAGTATTTTTCTAATATTTGGGACTTCGAAATCAACTATATTTTGTGTATTAAATCCTTACTTATTTAAACTATGTAATATAATATATTTGTAAAGGAAATATAACAAAAAAGTTGAAACTAACTTTTAAATTGATATGGTAAATTTAATAGGCATCAATATTCCATGATGAGTATATATTTATAAATTAAAACATAAAATTCTAAATATTAGTCAAATATTTGACCACTTTCAACTTCTTTTAAGTTAAGGAGTGAATGAAAAATACGTATTTTTACGGCCATAAATTTTTAAGAGCTAAATTTCTTTTCTTTTACTCGGAGTAGTTAGAAATTGTTAGGAATATTTTATCCATTTTTTATTTTCGTATCAACATGAGTCTTAAAAGAAAAATAACTCTTCGAGATTTCTAATGTTTCATAAATATTACTGTTCTTTTTCTACCTTTTCGTCATCAATATGTTTGATGTCTTGTAAAGTTATTAGACTTTTTACCTTGTTCAAACAATATATATTTAACAAATCTATAAAATTATTGATTGATTCTTCAATATTCTTATACATGTGAATGAAATTTCATGTGGAGCATGTGATTGAGACGTTATGCCAATTAAAATTGGATTAAAAGGCATGTTTTTTTCCTGAATTTTATTTTCTCATTCATATTGTTAAGCTTTTTATTACATGTTTGAATATGTAATATGTTCATAATACTTTTTTGCCAGACCCATACTTGAAAAGTAAATAGAGAATTGTTTTGCAAAAAAAAAAAATCATTGTATGTTTTGATATAGATTTTCATAAATACCTATCATACTATTTTTTTTTTATGTATATGGAATGATAGAGTGTACTACTATTAGACATGGTTACAAAACTGAGCTTCAAAGTCCAAACTTGTGGAGAAAGCTTATTTAGCATTTGAAGTTAACTAATACTAATAGAATTTTTAAATACAAATTGAACAATAACACTGCAAAGCTGAATGATTGGTATAATTTTTAATTTTAATTTCATGCGTTCGCTTGGAATAAATAAAATACTTCTTCAGATAATAAATAAGCAAATAATTGGAGTTAAGGCTATGAGGACCTTAGAGGAAAAATATTTTTCTACTATTCGTCATTTTAGAAACAATATGTTTTTATAACTTTTATTTTATAATCAAGACATAATTTTTAATAAGTTTTATATGTATTTTTTTTTAAAAACTCTTACTTATGGACACAGGTACACGCGCAAAGCGTCATGCACGTGTAAATCACTCATTGAATGGATATCCACAACATGGTGAATTTATAAAAGTGCTACACTATATTACATTATTACCAATTAAGACCATTTGTCAAAAAATATTGTACTATTATTTTATTCACCACTACCAAATTGGATCTGAACTCAATTGCAATATTATTTTTTTTTGTCAACAAGCAATTATTGTTGAAATTTCTGTCAAGCGTCACTAATAGATCAATTTTTTGAATAAAATTTTTAGATTGTTCAAACAATATTTTTTTTCAATTGAAGGATCAGGAAAAGAAAAGAGGACAAATGATAGAGACAATTAAACTCAAACTTATTTTATGAGAGACTCCGACAATACTATTGGACTAAAGTACTGTACGTCTCGGTGATAACTAGGGGTGCTTATCGGGTGGATCGCACGGATAATTACACTAAACGGTTCGGTTTAACGGTTATCGGATTATAAATGTAGTAATCCGCTAGCCATTTAATAAGACAACGGGCAGATTGGTATCGGATTAACAATTATCGGGAGGCTTATCGACCAAACCAAATACTTTTTTTTTTGAACAATCATTCAATCAATACCAAGACTATACATACTGTCATTACATATATTAACCAAATTTGTAAAACCAGTAAAACACATTCGTTTAGTAATAAGTCAAACTTTCAAAAGGACATTCGTTTATAATCAATCAAAAGGCAAAAGCTTCAGCCTTCGCCCTCAAAGCTCTGACGCTTAACTTAGCTAGAAGATGTAATTCTATTCTGTAATATACAAATAGATAAAGGTACAACATGTGGAAAAAATCAATATTCATATAAAACTAGGCAGCCACATGTAATTGAATCAAGAAGTTGGAAAAAGAATAGTAATATACAAATAACAATGAGAACGAGACGGATAAACAATGGTACTTTATATACATAGGGGTAAAAGTGTAAATATAAAACTTCTTAACGGGTTAACGGTTTACCCGATAAGAAAACTGAGTAATCCGCTCCCAAACCGTTAAGCCGTTAATTATAAAATCTCAATTCGTTTCCCATTCATTACCCCCAATAACCCAATACCAATAAACCAATAAGCTATCGGTACAATTCAGTTAATGGTTTCGCTTTGATTTTAAACAACCCTAGTGTTAACCCTTACCTAACTCCACTCACAGATTGTTTGGATGATTTTTATGTATCGAAATGAGAATATATTATTGGTAGGAATTAGAGAGAAACTAAAAATGATATGAGTTGAAAAGGAACAAAGAAAAAGAAATTGATTATTATGCAATATCTCATTTAATAAAAAAATTTGCTCAAAAACTGGTGAAGCGAGGTGTCAATAATGTAAATAGAAGTTACAAAATAAAGTACGCTATTTGTTTTTATTTATGTAACATAATTTGACTTAACGTATACTGTTTAAGAATTTTTTTTTTTATTTGGATTTTATAATGTATCGCATAGTATTGTATTGTATTGTAACGTTTTGATGTATATAGTGTTTGGATATATTATGGTTGCCGTCGTTTCTCATGACGTCATCCACCAACAATATGAAAAATAAGCTTGTAATATATTTTTTTTAAAAAGTAAGATACGAGATAGAATTATTATATAAAAAGGTAGGGTAAAGGATAAAATAGAATTATTTAATAAGAAAGAAGGGCAAGATAAAAAAAAATATAACAACGCGAACACACCAAATCGGTCGTTCCATAAAGTGACACTTTTCGTCGTTACGTAATAACAAATTTAACAATATGATACAATAAAATTTAAGTAATAATCAAAATAAATATTATAGTTAAAGTAATAATACGATACAATATAATACGTGAACATTTAAACAAGCTATCAAGGAAAACCCCTTATTATATTAATTTATTTTTTTCAAAAGAAAATGCCTGAGATGGGCAACAGTTTGGGCCTCAATTTGTAGAAGATGCCGGGTCTTGGCCCAAATGTAGATCCGCTCCGTACATCAACTACTCCCAACATTAGCCCTTAAGAACATCCGATTCTGATCGCAAATTCGCAATTACCATAGCAGAACCTTCAAAGTTCGGAGGAACAAGCGTTTGCTCTAATGGCGTCAGGATGGGGAATAACAGGGAACAAAGGCCGATGCTATGATTTCTGGATGGACTTCAGTGAGTGTATGTCTCGATGCAGGGAACCCAAAGATTGTTCCCTTCTTAGAGAAGACTACTTCGAGTGCCTTCATCATTCTAAAGAGGTACATTTCCATTTGTTCCCATTTTTAATTTTTTGATTCGATTCCGATCTTTTAGGTACTTTCACCTTTGCTTAAATCTCCCTAGTCCTGAAGATTTGAATTAGTCGGTGGTTCCTTGTACCGTGGTTAATTCTTCCTGTGCTGTTTTTAGGATAGTTAGGGTTTTAGAATTTTGAAATTTTATAAGCTGAATTGGTGCCTAAATATCCGATAGAGTTTGAATCTCATCAAAGTATGGATTTTGTCATTTCCTCCGACAACGTGCTTGAGATATCAAATACAGTAATAAATGCCGTATAGGATATGTATGAAGGAGTGGTTACCAGTGTGAGAACTGCAGGATGAGATACAGGAGTCATGCATAACCGTGTGTTTCCGCCAGAATTCTGTCTTGACATCTTACTTGTTTGCTCTAGTCATGGTGGGTGAGTTAGCCAATAGTATACAAGACGAGGTTCCATCTATTTTCATATGACATTTCATTAATTGATGAAGCAAACGACAAAGTTAATTAATAGCGAGAACGATGGAGATGCAGTCTGGAAATTACGTTTGTAAAAGTAATATATAATTTAAGAATATATGCAGGCAACACTGAAAGTTCAACCTCCATAAGAAGAACAAAAGTATAGTGGGATTAGACGAGATTGTGATTCCTAAGTGCAAACAATCAGATGCTTGTGTGTAATCTTACATAAGAATGACATGATAGATGAAGATGTAGGACATATAGTGAAAATAGGATGGTTAAAGTGGAGGAGATGCTGCATGATTGCTATACGATAAAGGACACCTAACAAGGTCAAGGGATACTTCTATAGAATGATTGTGGGACCAAAAATATTACATCATATATGGTAAGATAGATATAAAATTGCAGCCTAATGTACTAAGCCCCCGCTGCACTGGACCACATTAGGTCTTATGTACGCAATCTTACCTTGCATTTTTGCAAGACGCTTTTTCCGCATATGGTAAATAGATGTGCTGTTACAAAGTTGGTCAACATTAGAAACGACACATTAGAAAGATAGTTTAAGTGGTACTCATAGACAAAATGAGGAAAGATAGGGTTTTAGAAACTTGATATGTTATAAGCTGAATTGGTGAATAAATATTTTGTAGAATTTGATATCCGATAAAAGATTCTCAGCTTTGTATCGTATCGAAGTATGAATTTTGTCATTTCCTCCAACAACATTAGATGGCATGTGCTTTTAAGCTGAATTGGGGTGCTTGGGATATCTAATAAATGAATGCATAAAGGATATGTATGAGGGAGCAGTCCCAAGTGTGAGAACTGTAGGAGGAGATACAAAGGAGTTCTCCATAACCGTGTTTTACACTAGAGATCGATCTTGAGATCTTACTTGTTTACTCTAGTTATGAATGAGTTAGCTAATAGTATACAAGATGAAGTTCCATAATGCATGCTACTGGCAGATGACTTTTTGTTAATGACAAAGCAAGTGAAAGTGTTAATTAATAGCAAGAACAATGGAAAAGTACTATGAAAAGCAAGATTTGTAGAAGTAAAACATAATAGATGCTAGCAAAATTATAAGTATAGCTCCCATAAGAACAAAAGTAAAGTGGGGTTGGACAAGACTGTGGTTCCTAAATGAAAAAATTCAGATATTTGAGTCCAGTCTTACATGAAAATGACATGATCGATGAAGACGTAACACATAATTAAAATAGGATGGTTGTAGTGGAGGAGGTGCTACATGATTGCTATGTTATAGGAAGATATTAGCTTTTATAGAATGGTTGTGAGACCGACAATATTGTATCATATATGGTAGTGATGTTGCTACTCTAAGTCTCAACAATTAACAATTTAAGTAACATAGAAATGTAGATGTTAAGATGGATATGCGATCATACAAAACTGGATTAGAAAACGACACACTAAAGATAGTTCAAGTAGCACACAAAGACATAAAATGAGAAAAAAATTGCTGGGATGGTTTTTCCATGCATACCGTAGATCTTCAAATACATTAGTTCAATTACACCACAAGGGTGTTAAAATGAGATGCGATAGGCCTAAAATCACATGGTGGAAAATTATCTTAAAAGATCTGCAAATTCGTAGAACCAAACCTATACAAATTTAGCTAAAAATAGAATAGAATGGAAGTAAAGGATCCATACAAGTGATATGAACTAAGTGGGATTAAAGTTAGTTGATTGGTGTAACATCTACATTAGGTTCGGACAGAGATAAGTGCGAGATGTAAATAACCTCCGATTTGCCTAAAGCCGAATTACTCGCTAGTATTGAAATGAAATTGGCACGGATAGAGCATATATGAAGGATTTGTATTGTCGGTCCATCTAGTTTGTAATTGAGGTTTAGTTGTATGATTGATTGATCTACTTTAATGGCTTTGACAAGAGTTCTTTAGACTACTGGTGTGTCTCTCATTCTTTGTAAAAGAGTTGCAGATTTCCCTTTTTTGTCTATTTATACATGGCATCTCTTTGATTAGTCTTATTTAGGCTCTCTTGACTGATTTGTTAGAGAAGGCATGAATGCAAAGGCACTTCTAGTTCTATGAGTTGGAAATGGTCTAATTGGGGGTAGCTGATTTACAAGGACTAAACTGGAACATCTGTAGTAAAGCATTTGTTTGCATCACCTTCTGTCCTTTATCTGTAGAAAAGATTATACACAATGACACAAGCTAATTGTTTGAGTCCCAGAAAGAGCTTATTCTTGATTTATTCAGCTACTGTCTCCTCTTTTCTCATTATGGCTCTTTCATTAACTCATATCCTGGTCGCTCTCTGCATTTTTGTCTATTCTCCTTAGAATCATTGTTGTTTTGTCTCTTGAGAGTGCCTCAAGCTACACCCCATATTTTTTTCATAAGTTGGGCGTTTGAGGCTAGGTGTTTTATGATCCTGCGGAGATGTATAAGCCTCCTTAATTGATTGAGAAAGATTAGGAATTGGTGGAATTAATAGGAAAGAAGCTTCAACTGTTTATAGATGTCCGATAAAGCAGCAAACCCTCCTTCCATTTTCCATGCTGGGAGTACATATTTCAGACTCTGCAGCTTATCTACTAATTCTAATTGTATTAAGACAAGCTTAAGTATCTAATATGTTGATAGGTGAATAAAGTGGTGGAAGCACTTTTCCAAGTTTAGCTACTGCAAGAGATTATCTTCATCAAGGAAACTATGCTTTCTTAGACTCAATTGCACTAGTTGGATGGGGAAGGTACCTTATTCTTTTAATGGTGCCAAATAGATTATAATATCTGTGCTCAAGGTCAATATTTGTTAATCCCTGAGCCTTAAGCAATCGTATGTGGAAAAACTTTTGCATCTAACATGAAACCCCCATCCCCCAAAAGAACAAAAAAAGGGAAAAGTGTGTGATGGACTTATTTAATTATTTTCTGGATAAGGAAATGTGATAAAATTATTTAATAATCTCAACGGTCATGACTCTGCTCAACTGAAAGTGACATCTTTTTCCCTGTTTGTACCTTCCTCCTCTGCTCTTGTCTTTGGCATTCGGAGACATGAGTTTTGCAGAGTCCTCTTCTTTTGACTTATGTTTCTGGTACTAATGCACTTGCATTCTGAATCAGATTATGCAAGTAGCAAACCCTCCACATATATGGACTTACATATCGTGGCATTTTGAAAATTATTTTTGGGGAAAATTTTATGCATTGCTATCTGTCTATGTTCCTTTCAATTAGGTTGAATTTGGAAGGCAAAGTGTCCAGTTGGTGTCCAAGAATAGCACTTGCATGTTGAAAGCATAAAATATAAAAAAGAAACAAATGTGTCAGTCATTTTTCGAGGTGTGTTGGTGACTTCTAGAGTTCTAGTGTCTGACTCCAATATGTTAAATTAGGTATCGTGTCTGTGCTCCCTAGTCCTCTACTAATCTACTGGCGCATGTCAAACTCCAATATGTTAGTTTAGCTTCACTCTTCGTGTGTTGTAGGTCAACCTTCTTTCAGTTTCTTTGGATCCTTTGCAGCTCTTAATTCTACTTAGATTTCCAGACTACTAGTATACTAGTCTACTGTCCTGTGCCTTATTAAAAAAAAACTAGTCTACTGTCCTGTGTATGCTAAAAGTTAATGTGTTGTCCAGGACATTGCTTCTTCTCAACTCTCATAATGTTCTTCAGTGTTAACCGTGCATGCTATTAGAATTTATTTAATTTGATTGATTTTTCCTTCTGATTTAACAAAAAAATAAGCCCCAAGTCAGCCCTTTAAAGTTTAATCTTTCTGCTTCCAGTTGTAGATTCAGGAAATCCCTAAGTTTTCCTAAATGGAAGTAATTCTATTCCTTTTTACTTTTATGTTAAGCTGTATTTTATGGTAGATCAAACAATAAAGCAAAGTACAGAGCTTAGATTCTTTTCTATATGTAGCGAATCAAGATCAGGAGAAATTGAAACCTTGGGAGGTGCATGAGCTAGTAAGGTTCTTGATCAAACAGCATAAGTGGTGTGTCAGTACCCTACGCTAGTTAATTTTCAGACAGAGACTCTGAGAACTCTTTACTGCTGGCGGCTGTCAATGTTTTAAACAGTGTAGTTTTCTCTGAACTCAGTTACGGCCCAGCCTGCTCTAGTCACACAGGAATAACGAGAAGAAGTGATATGGTTATCTCCCACTTATTAAAATAAAAGGATATATATTCATCTCTCTTCGCTTTCCTCTTGCTTGTAACTGTAAATTACTGGCTCCTTTTTAAATCCTTTTTTTAAAGTAATAAAGAATTGTATTAATCCTTATTTTTATTTTTGATGTGGCAAAAGCCGGAATTTTCTAGCTCAAAAACACTTAGAAAATGATGAATTATGTATATTTGTAACAAATTCTGGTACTTTTCACTATACTTCTTAGTTACAGGGTTGTTTCCTTTACTGCAGTATCAACGTAGGAACCGAATTTACAAAGAGGAGCAGCGCCAGTTAAGAGCTGCTTCACAAAAGAAAAAAGAAGGTGGCGATGGTGGTGGTGGTCATCACTGACGTTGATTGTGGAAACATGGTTTTACCAATCAAAAGGCGTGGAAGTAACTGTATGTCGTTTTGAACTTTGAAATAAAGAGTTGAAATCAGTTGCATTTGATGTGAGCTGGATAATTGAAATGGCTCTGTTCAGTTTCTTTCTCAATGTGGCCTTTGTTTTGTTGGTGATATGCAACATATGTTTAAGGGCACATTTGCGTCCTACCATTGGCACTGGAATATGATATCAGTTCTTGGAAATTTGGGACTCATTAAATGGAATGATCGTTTTCTTTAAGTTATTATGTAGTTTATCAATTTCACAATGAACCAATCTGGAGCCTGGGTCATGAATATATAGGAAATAACAAGAATGGAAAGAGCTAAGATTTTGCTAAATGGTCTGTGAACCAAAATCACTCAACTCGAACGTTTTGCCTCTCCATTAATTTTGTCTCTTACAACACTTCTTACTTAAACTAATTTGTTTATTAAGTTGATCTATATAGTTTCATTTATAACATGTTATCTTGCGTAATAATGGAATCATAATTTGCATGCGCATTAGTTAATCTTTTTATTTTTACGTGTGCGCATAAATTCCTATATATGGTCAACAAATCATCAGGTAAATAACCTAATATATAGAATGATGTACACCTTTACCTTAAGAAAATGAGCTTTGACACTAAGTTCAACTTAGTAAGTGGTTAGTATTTATTAGTCTAAACTCCATGTTATTGGTGGACAATTGATGGGTGCAACAAAAGCTACCAAACCTAGTATACAACAACTAGCTAGCTTTGTTCAACTACTCAAGAAACTTTCACATGATGTTGTAAGCTTTACCCATATAAATAAACTACAAAATACAAACAGATTAACACACACACACACAGAATACTCCACTATGGCTTGGATGAACAGTTGCAGTGCAATCCATAGTACAAAAGTCTGTCCAATCTTCCCTTCTGATGTTTTAAAGAGTGAAAGCTTTAGATCCATCAATGGAGTCTACTATAATATTGGAGATTATGAATATTGGCAGGCTAGAAGGGCATTTCTGAGTAGCTACCATTTTACCAGAAGGAAATACAGTTTCAAGGACTGGTTTAAGAAGTCCTTCAAAGGAGTTGGTAAGATGGCCATGTCTGTATATTTTGGAGTTATTGAAGAATTTTCAAAAAGGAAGATTAGTATTAAGGTTTACAAGTTGACATTGGTTTGGCCAAGACTTTTTATTGCCAGATGCTATGTGCCTTGTCCCTATAAATACTAAATACTCGTATACTTGATCTTATCCAAAGGTCGAGAAAACTATCTAAATCCACGTATAGAAAACACATTCGTATTATGTAATATGTAATATGCTGAAATATTGTCCTTTTGACTTTTCACGTTGAAGCAAATTTTCATATGTAATGTTTAACTATAACTTGATTTTCAACTTATTGCTTGGTACATTTAACTTTCAACCCGTCCTAACAAAAACGAATTCTAAATTATTTGAGTAGTTGACCGAGTAGCAACAAAAAGCTAAGGATCCACCGTGTAGAGAAAGCGTACCTTTTAATAGAGGGGTTTCAACTTTTAAGTGCACAATGCTACATTAGGATCACGAGCCAAGTTTACTTCACTTCCGGTGACCTGACCAGGCGACCTGACCAGGCGAAAGAGATTATGTGATCATCCTATTCTATATGAACAAACATTTGTTAGTAATCTTTAATACTATAATATAATATTATGAAACAGTAAATTTCTGTAACATAAAACATAAAGAAGAAAAACAGAAAATAGCAGAAACTAGAGATTATCAGAAACCATAATCAGTAAATATATTTCGGAATAAAATCGAGCCCACTAAATGCACAGTGTGTCCTTAAGGAAATTATTCCCCTCAAGTACCCGATGTGTTGGAATATTATTCTCCCAGGATAGAATGATTTAACTCACCAGAGTATCGGTACCAAAAACGCCAGAGAAATAGCGAACCACTTGAAGGCTGTAAACCACACTGGAATTTAATTGTGCAGAAGAAGTTCAGAAAATTTTCGTAAGGAAATATTCTGGGACCAAGGCATATTTATAGCCATTTTCTGGCACTGTTTCTGAAAAGTTTGCAACCTTTCAGAAACAGCTATAGCTGTTGGAACAGGTGGGAACGATTCCCATTTAAACCCCCCGTGAAAGAAACGGATCGGGTCGGGTCGCGGGTCCTGAGTTATTCCAGGTTGACTTTTCGTTAATTAATTAAATAATTGAAAGAAATTTTGTCCAAAAAGATTAATAAATCAATCGTTAACCGAAGACGAGCAACAACGACGACCTGAGACTTACTTTCTTTCCAACCCATGTAACACCAAGGGAAGTGCTTTTTCAATAAGCACATTCACTTCTTTTTTTTTCACCACCAATGAGGGACACTTCTCTTTTCAAAGCAAAAGGGAGCTCACTTTCCCTTCATTTTCATCCTTTCATTTCCTATTCACCAATCTTTTAATCACAACAATATCATCCTACTTTTGCTTCCCCTTAATTCCTCCTCCTATGGCGTCGAAAATAATCACTACCTCTAATATGACACAAACTCATAACTCCCGTAAAGGACTATCTATGCAAATTTCTCCATGTTCTCAATAGAATAATTTAATGATTAAGAGGTCATAATTCGAATCATACTGTCACATGTTTGAATTTCAACAACAAAAAAAAAAGCACGAGAGAACCAAAATGAGAGAAGAAAATCGAATGGGTGACAATGCATGATGAACGAGTCGTGACTTTAACAAATGTTGTTCCAATTAATCAGTAAATCTATTTATATTAGAAACTTAATATATGGTTATTAGGAGGCCAAATGTCACTATATACTCATTAACAACCTAAAATGATAACGAAAAGAAAAAGTTGGAGGAAAAAAATAGTATTAACCATCAATTTTAATCAATCAATGGAACAAACTAAATCACTAACTACCTCTGGCTGGGGTCCTCGAGAATCACTAACAAAAGGTTTTATGAGACTACATCCCAGTAGATGAAACATTTTCTGTTTCTGGATTCATAAAATTTTAAATGTTATTTTGTAATTTATCAGTTCTCATCTATTTCTTTATTATTCTATTTTTTCAAAGATAGTATTTTGTTTCATGATAGGGTAAACGTCATATTCTGGCTTCCTGTATTTTAAAACACTGGTTACAAGTTACAACTTACAATATATTCTATTCCGTTCTCCAATTTGACAGTCAATGATCTTTATTTTTGTTTCTAATATTTATACTGGCTGAACATTTTTTAAATAATTATTTTGATTTTTTTCTCACATACATTTAAATCAATATATTAATTTGTAAAACATGCAATATATATTTCATGTTACATTGCCTTGATTAAAAAAAGAAAAGGAGCTGAGATGGACCAGGTGTAAGAAATCCGGGCAATCTAAGAATTATCTATAAAGCAGGGGGTCCAAAAGTGCAATTTTCTCAAACTTAAACATCCTCTGATCTCGTCTTCAAACTGTTAACACTGAATCTGAATTCCAACCCAAACCAATAAATTCCCCACAATTTGCTACTTTAAAGTTTAAGCAACAGAGTCCTAAAATTTGTAGCCATTAATCAGCGTAGAAATATAGCAGCAGAATTCTTTCGAATTATATTTATAGAAAAAAATGGTGAACAGAGGCCACAGGACAACAAGAAGAACATCTCATTTCTCAATCACTCTCTATATTTTCCTCCTCTTTGTTTTCTCAATATTCGTTTTCGTTTTGTACTCTAAAGATATATCAGAAGATGAGCAAAATCGTCTCGTAGTATCGGAGAAGAAGGAGCCCGAATCCGAAGAGGTCTGTTATTTATTTATTTATTTATTTATTTATTTATTTGTGAATTGGGTGATATGTGCTGATTTTTTGTAATTTGGTCTAGAAAGTATCTGGATAATTTATTAAATTTCCGAGAATTTTAGCTTCTTATTTGGATTGAAATTGGTGGTCAGAATTTTGGAGCTAAATTTACATTTGGTTGAAACAGGAGAACAAAATATGATAATAATAATAATAATAATAGAAATAGAGGCACAAGGATTTAGGTGGTTCAGCCAATTATGTTTAATCAAAGTGTATCTTAACACTTCATTCTCTAATATTTCTTATAAAGTCCAAGTTGTAAACAACAAGCTAGTAGTTGTGAACCAATTTACTCTGAGTAGTAATCAAGTTGCAAATCAACTTATTTAATATTGAATCAAGTTTGCTAGCCAACTTTCTGCCAGTCAACTTACCCTAAGTAGCAAGTGATGTAGCAAGCTAACTTAGTTCAAGTTCTAATTAAGTTGCAAGCTAACTTTATAATTCATTTGTTTTGTTCGGATTACGTTATATATGCATGTATACATTGCTGCAGAAACTTTAAGACTTAGAAATCCGTACATGTCTCTGTGGGAATTCTTTAGTTTCTCAGATGGTTTGCTGTATGGGACACTTTTGAAATGCTTTCTCCTGAGTTTGTTATCTTGCGATTTGTCATAAAAAATGGAAGTTTGCTATCATCCTACTTAATGCTTTTGTAGATTGACATAGTTCTTGGACCTCCTAGTTTGGATTAACATGGGTAAACGATATAAAAAAAAAAAAAAGCAAGGCAAAATCGGCAAATTGTGAACTTAAAGAAAGTGGCCTAGTGGTGATAACCTAACATAGAACTGAAATTGGTAGTATGTAAAGAGGCCTTGTGGCAAATATGCTTATCTTTTGTCTTCACATTTCAATTTGGTAAGAGCTTTCTGATTCAGTATTTGCTTGCTTTCCTTGGCACAACACAACAAGAAATTTGAATTATCAACAAGAAAGTGTAGGGGCAAGAAAGGCAATGAATATTCAATCAATCAGTTACGCCTCAATTCCAAATTTTTTATGATGAGCTGGATGAATAGTGTTAATCCATTATGTTCACTATTCAGAGAATTCATCATGATTAAACTATTTTTATGCTGGCCATCGACCTATCACAATTCTTTTTTATCCTACAATATGTTGGATAAATTTCAAGTTTTATTTCTGTTTGTTATATGAAGTGAAATTTCAATTTGTTTTAAGAAAAAAGAAAGAAAAAGAGACGGCATTAGTGATAGTAAAAAAGGGCTTTAGTTCCTAACATTTTTCAAATGATAGGATGAGCTTTATTCCTTAAATTTTTATGAAATAGTGTGAACAGGTTTTGGTACCTTAAAAGGGTAAAATAAGTGCCTTGTGTGTGATCCTTTATTTTGTATAGGCGAAATACATAAACGGCCCCTTTATTTTGTAGGTTCTCTTTTTGGTATACAGCTTGTATACGGGGTTAGTTCCTAATTGTTAATAAAATTATTTACCTTATAAAAAAAAAAGTTGTCCTCAACGATCAGATAGATCAGTTAAATACTTCAAGTGGCTATTAAGTGTATCAAGTAAACACCCGGGTGCAGCAAAACATATGCGTGAGTTACACTTGCTAATGACATATCAAATGAACCAATTAAAGAACGACACGTATAATTTGTAATAATTAAAACAAAAACAACCAAAAAATTAATCCAAACTTCCGGGCAGTTCCAGGCTGGCAAAAATGGAGTCACCGAACTGACCAAAAATTTGAATTGACAGAGCTCCTACAACCCAAGTACACAAGAGATTACACGTGCAAAAGCTCTCTGATCTCGTCAATGCCCATATGTCATTGTCAGATTTTCTTGGTGGATATATGAATGCTCATTAACAGAACAACTACATACACAAATGAGGCGAGCTAAGATGAATACATCATAGTATCTACGGGTGGGCAAAATTTGGGCAAATCCGAAATCCAAACCGAAATCCGAATTTTTTGGATTTTTGGATTACGGATTGGATTTTCGATATAATTTTTAAAATTTTTAGATTTCGGATTGGATATTGAATTTGGTACTTTGGATATCCGAAAATTCAAAATTTTTATACTTTATATTTAGTCCATTATCCATATGCCAATAGTAATAAGTTCAATACTCTATCCATTAGATATTATCTCATATATTCAATATTAATTACTAAGCTACTATGAGAATACTTTCTATTTGGACATGATTTTACTGTTGCTACTTCTTATCGGCCGTATTAATGTCTCTGTTGTATTTTTTTGATAATAATTTCATTACTTGAATACTTTATTTGGGTGATTGCAGCAAGAATGAGGAACTTTTCAGGCAATTTAACATGAGAACTTCATTTGGATATTCATTTTTGTAAAAAGTAGAAACATCTCAACTTATATGCTCAAAACCGAAAATCCATAATATCCAAACCGATTAATCCGAAACCGAACTTAAAATATCCGATTCAATCCGAACTTGTTTGGATTGGATTTGGATTGTCATTTCTTCAATCCGAAAATCGAAAATCCAAACCGAAATTCTCATATCCAATCCGAATGGCCCGAACGCCCACCCCTAATAGTATCTCCACAAATAATTAAAATATCCAGTAGAAATAACAACAAATTGGAAATAGCAAAATTAAATCAACAACGGTCAAGCCCGTAAAGGTCAGAGATTTAAAGCATCAAAGCAGCAGCAGACAACTACAACAACAGATCCGGCGACAACAACTTTGTTCCTCGCCAACAAGTCCCCCACCGTCACCTTCCGTTCCCACCTCCATTTTCCACCCTAATTAATCCTCTTTCAAATCTATTTTCCTTTTCTTTATAGCTTATAATCAGACACTGTGAGAATGATTAGATGACAAAACCTGATTTCATAAAGGACAAAAATTGATTTCATAACTTGTAATCGAAGGTGAAAAAATTGAAGAAGGAGAAGTGTGAAAATGAAGGTAAGTGGGGTTCACATAAAGTCAGGTTAATTTTAAAAAAGAAAAAGAAAAAGAAAAAGAAAAAACTTTAATTTTAAGGGTTTTACGCGCTCGAATGTGAATATAAAGCACACACTTTGCCATGTCAGCGTGGGGGGTTCACGAGGTCGCACTTTAGTCGTGAAGAAGTGTGTAATTGGTAATACGGTTAGTTGAGGTGTCTATTTGGTCGTTGTGAACAACATATAGCCATAAAGGGGCCATTTATGTATTTCACCTTTTGTATATTTGGGGCTTGTCTTAATTGTACTTGTTTAAGTGCTTCCTGCAAAATAAGCAATTGAAGAATGATAAGGAGCCTTTTGGAAAAGAAAGGAAAATAACAAGTTTATGTCATGCTATTGGTTTTTATATCTCTCTTCCACTTCTATGATATTTCTTTGTACTGCGATAGTTGCTGAGAAATTTCGTTTCAGGATTCATCAGCATTATAGTAGCTAGATATTTCAAGTATACATGTTTGTAGTTCTAAGGAATGAGTTTTTAATTAGTTTCCACATGTATTTTGCTCTAGGATTGTTTCGTCCTTTTCCTATGCTTATGAGTTTTATTTCTTTTAGGGTCAACCCTATTCAACTTATTTCCTCCAATTTATACAAAGAGTGAATATGTAAATTATGTACTTGTATAACAGATAAATTAGAATCTTAAGGAATATTTTTCATTTGTCCTTGGTGTAACTTGTCAGTTTGAAAATATTAGAGTTGTATCTGTGTAGTCTTTTGGTGTCTTGCTTGCATCAGTGACTAGCTCTCGTAATGATAACTGTTAGACTCCTGGTAGTGAGAATGTCTCCTTTTGTCTTTTGCAGAATGCAGATAATTCTGTCTGGGAAACTTCACACAGTCATGGTTTACATCCATGTGTCAAGCCAACTGTGAGATATAAAGGTTAAACTCTATTAGAATAGCTTGTGTTTCTTCTGCTACCTGCAACTTAAACTGGAAATAGTATCTTCATTTCCTCTTGGGAGCACTAATGCTTTTCTATGTTCTATAAAGAAGATACTCATCTGGATTTTCTCAAGATCTCGATTTTCCTGATTTTTCTTTTTTGGGGGAGGGGGTGTTCATAGTTATTTTGGGAAACAATTTCTTTTCTATCTACTCTTCTTATGGTGCTATCAGCTCATGCATGTGCTGATTCAAAGCTGAAACAGCAGATTTCTCGGTCATAAAAGAAAAATATCATGCCTGTGCTGTTTCCTCTGCTTTCTCTCTCTCAATCTCCTTGACCTGTACCACCTCAGGCACAATATGAAATTTTTATGTGCCACAACTTTTTCCGCTCGAAAGTCTTATGCAGAATTTATCCTTCTTGTCCAGCTGCTCTAGGATGGAATCGCTACTTGACTGTAAAAAGTAATGGTGGATTAAATCAAATGAGGACGGGTGTAAGTTCAATCTTCTTTTTGATTTCTATTTTCCATTTTCTGTATGTTACATAATCATTCCTGTTTTTTTTCCTGATAAGGTAAATAACAACAACAACAACAATAGCCCAGTGAACCCACAAGTGGGGTCTGGGGAGGGTAGTGTGTACGCAAACCTTACCCCTACTCCGGAGGAGTAGAGAGGGTTTCCGATAGACTCTCGGCACAATAAAATGAAAACTAGACAGTGTAGCAGTAACAACAAAGGAATCTAGAAAGATAACATCAGCAACATAATAACCAGAAAATAGAGAGAAAAGTAATAACACTAAGCAGTAACAATGGCTGATAAGGTAAATAATTTTATGAAAAGAAGGGGAGAACCTCATATACAAGATGTATTCAAAACTGTTGAAGACATAATTAATTAGATAAAAGTGTGCTCTGTCTAACAATTTAAGCTTTTAGATGAGATGGTTACACACTTCAATATGGTATCAGAGCCCAGGTTCGGCGGGACGTATAGATATGGCAAAGTGATGGTGCAAGACGGTGAACACACAAGAAGAATCTAGTTGCGGGCTTCGGTTTCCATAATACTCTAACAATGTGGGTGGCACACAGTGAATCTCGGAAATTGACCCGTGGATCGTGGCAATGGTTGAGTGTGCGAACAAAGTCCCATTTTGGTACCTGAAAAGATTGGGAGCCTACATATAAGGTGTAGGGATCTCTTAATGGTGTGAGGCCTTTTGGGGAAAACCGTGCGAGCTTGGCCCAAAGCGGACACTATCACACCATGTTAAGAGTATCTTTGGGCTGTTTTAACCCAACAACTGGTATCAGAGCCACTCCGCGTGCAACCCTGAACGATGGTGGGGCAAACCTCAGCAAGGACGCTGAGTCCCTAAGGGGGTGTATGTGATACCCTAGGTGAATCCCACATCGACAAAATATAAGAGAGATGCTAGGTATATCAGTAAACATGCCTTAGACTCTAATGACGCGTTTTAAACTCGTGCGGGCCTAGGCCCAAAGCGGACAATATCACAAGTGAGCTGGGCTGTTACACGATGTTGGGCCCCTACAATTGTGCACGCTCCAGATGTCCAGTCCTGGGCGTGAGAGGGGGTGTTGAGTCCCATATCGACAATGAAGGGGATTTTGGGGTGTGAGTTAGGTCCAAAGCTTATATTTGACAAGAATAAAGAGAACCTACATCAAAATATGGTTCTCAACAAAGGAAACCAAATCACCTATACAAATAGACACCTCATAGGTACACCAAAAATAAACTAGAGAAAAAAAACACTATTTTGCAACTCTACAACGTCTAGCTCACCCCCTTCAAAATCTGCTATTTCTCTCTTTCCATATCACCCACATAATGGCTAGAGGTGCAAACTTCGACGCCCTTGGACTTCTCTTCCCACTCTTGTAGACCCACATAATAGCTAGAGGTGCAAGCTTCGACGTCCTTGGACTTCTCTTCCCACTCTTGTAGACCCAGCTGTGCAACACGTTGTACAATCATTCTTGTTTTAAACCACAAATTTCAACGGAATAGCTTTTGTTCTATTCGAGCTACTGTTAAACAAGCTAAACGTTTTGAATCAGCCCAACTTGGAAATGCTAGTGGACATGTGGTAGCTTGTATATGATTCTGTGCAGAGTCCTGGGGTATCATTTAACATGTTGACATATTGAAGATGGCTATTTAGAAACCTTCAGCTTGGAAATGTGGTTCCTTAAAGTCTATTCACAGTTTTGGAGTGAATTATATGTTAGGAAGTAACATCCCTAGATAAAGGGAGAAGAGAAGTTAACAAGAAAAGCAGTCTCATACGAAGTTGTGGGCAAAATAGCTGAATAAATTCTATATTGGTTTTGGGTAAAATAGCTGAATAGAAGATAAGACAAAGCCTGGCATGATTGGTAAGAGAATTTAATTTTTATTGGAAGTACAACTGGAAAATGATATAAGATTTACTCTTTGGTGAAAGATATAGTCTCAACTGAATTTCTAAGAGCTAGTGTTCAGTAAGCTTCTAAGGACCCGCTTGGCCATAGATTTTGTCAAAATAAACTTGGGTTTTATTTGGCAAACACATGTTTGGCCATAGATTTTGCCTACATTTTGGCCAAATCCCAAATGCCAAAACCAGCTCAATAGCTGGTTTTGGTCCAAAATATCACTATTATATTTTTTAAAAATTGCCCCAAACTTTTGTATTTTATAAAAGAGCTCACCATTTATTATTTTGTAACGATGTTGGTTCGTCTTCTCGGTCATCTGATAGTGTATCATGTAGTTCATTATAAAAATGATAATTTTGTATCAAATTTATTTATGTTCAGGACTATGGTTTGCGATAATATAATGAATGTTATTGATAATGGTACTGTTGGGTATTTGTGATAGTGTTTAGAACTTGTGGGTATAAGTCATGTTTCATGTTTTTCCAAACCAAACTTCATCCAAAACAGATGTCCAAACACATTTTCATCTTCAAACCAAATTTCACCCAAATCAGATTTTTCAGAATAAATTTGGGAATCTATGGCCAAACGCTAGCTAAGTTTTACTAGTTTGCTGTTTCGTTGATAAGATGATTATGCCATGACTTGTAGAGAGCTTACTCGCGGATCTTTCATGTTGTTGATTGTGGATGTAGTCACATCTCATTATTGAAATATCATTGTGGTCATACCCATTTTTTAAGCAAATATGTCCACATATTTGTACGTTGATGAATTTTTCCCTTCAGTCTTAATTTGTCAATTTGCTTTTTTTTTTTTTCCTTTTTACTTACAGATAGCTGACATGGTGGCAGTGGCACACGTAATGAATGCAACTTTGGTAATTCCTCAATTGGACAAGCGATCGTTCTGGCAAGATTCAAGGTCATATTTTGTTCTCTACTGTGTCTCTCTCTACTTTACATTGCTTGTCATTCTTTAAGAAATGTTTTTATACATTGCCTGAGACTGTTTGTGGCCTTTTCTTGTTTCTTCTAGAATGCCGATGAGTGCTTTAATCTCTAGCAATTCTTTTTTATTTTCACTTTATCTAAACATACTTACTCTTGTTTGTTCTAATGGGCTAATGTACAGTACATTTTCAGATATATTTGATGAGAACCATTTCATTGAAACATTACAAGGGGACCTCAGGATTCTTAAAGAGCTTCCCAAAGAAATAGAATCATTACCTCGAGCTAGGAAGCACTTTACGTCATGGTCAGGAATGGGTTACTATGAAGAAATGACACAATTGTGGAAGGAGCATCAGGCATGTAAATCTTATTCCTATCACCTTCTTCTTAAAAGTAGATTTTCTTAACCTCTCTCTTGCAATGGACCCAAAACAAGAAATTGTTGCTACTTGTTGCCCTTGCTTGCTGTCAAAGGAAATTGTTGATATTTAAATGGACGACCATGGAACATGATGTCGTTGGCGAAGTTATTATGATAATGTGTTCTCTAGTTGAACTGTATTATATATCTATATGCTCAACATGTTAGTAGTGTTCATGGTGGTCGTAGCGATTCAGTTTTTCTTGTTGCACCAAGTAAGATAGTGTCTCTTTTCAAACAACATTTACAGAATAAACCCTCTGATTATTATATGAAAGTATATTAAACAATATGAGAAATAACCTTCGATTATGTTATTCAATTCAATGGGAAGTAAGGGACATCTTCACCCATTATTAGCAGAAAATAAAAAAACTTCAAGTGTATTATATCACTGCCAATGCTTGACTCAAGGTGGTGCTAACATATGGATGCATTACTACCAAAAACTTGCGAATATTTATGAGTTCGATTCCTTGTTGTACATGGAAGGCTATTATTGACCATTGGAATTTATTAGGCAAGAAAAAATTAACTTTCTTCTCAATAGTCAGTTATTAAAGCCCTTCTAAAATTATCAGCTACTATGAGATGTCAGAGAGATGGCATTTAATCCCAAAATCATCAAATCCTGGAGGGGATTTGAATTGTCGTTTTATTAACTTTATCAGTTTATTATGTTGATATTATCAATATAATCCATAATCAAAGAGTCTCTATTTCCATTTCCTTTTGTTCGGGGGACTTGATCCTAATTTTCTTTTGTCTTCTCTAGCAAATTATATGTCTGAAATTGAAAATTGGCTTATTGCATCTTAATTGCAGGTAATTCATGTTGCTAAATCTGATTCTCGCCTTGCAAACAATGAACTGCCTCTTGATATTCAGAGATTAAGATGTCGTGCTCTATATAATGCTCTCCGCTTCTCTCCTCCTATTGAGAGACTTGGAAAGGTTAGAACAATCATTTGAGAAATTTGCTTACAGTTTTGGACTAGATGTTCTGGTCACACCATAAACACTTATTCCCTTTGTTTCAATTTATATGATAGACTTTCCTTATTACTCCGTTTAAAAAAAATGACACATTTATATATTTGGCGATAATCTAACTTTAAACTTTCAATTTTACCCATTTCATCCTTTACGAGAAGCTTTTATAGTTTATGTCCCACAAAGCTTTTACCCTTCAACCTTCAACACCACAAGTTTCAAAAATCTTCTTTCCCCCCCTTAAATTCCGTGCCAAGTCAAACTGCGTCATATATAAACTGAAACAGAGGGAGTATGTAGTTTTGCGATTCCCTTTTGGATAGTCACACTACACTGAATCTTTTTGTTGGCTATTGTATTTCCACTAACCTTTTTGGTGTCCAGATCTCCTTGATTAAGAATGGCATTCAACTTATGAAATAAATATGCTGTAATATTAGGTGTAGGATTCTCATGCCTGTTTATGCTGGCAAAATGGTTAAAAGATAACAGTTATCCACCCATATTATCCATTAAAAATGGGTTGGATAATAAACTTTTTAAAAACGGGTCATATATGGATAAGAACCATATTATCCACTTAGAAAATGGATAACTAATGGGTTTAACTTTTACATTTGTAAAGTCTCAAATTGGGGGTTCCTCAAGTTTGTGAGACTAAGAATTCTCCCAAAAGTGATCATATTCAAGAAGGCAAGGATAATATGGATATCCATATTATCCGTCAGTTAACCCTTTTTTATCCGTATTAAATATGGGTCGGGTCGGATAATGCATCCATTTTTGCATTAACCGTTTTCAACCCGTCCATATCCGATCCGATCCACCCATTTGCCACCCCTAAATACAAGTTTATCTACATCCTTTTATGTTTTGGATCTCATTTGTAAGGTCTCCAACTAGAATTCCTCATTAATTAGGGTTTGGTAATACATGATGATGATACTACAGAAGCTTGTGGACCGGCTCCGAACAAGAGCAAATAGATATGTTGCACTCCATTTGAGATATGAGAAGGACATGCTGTCTTTTACTGGCTGTACTTACGGTCTTACTGAACTAGAAGCAGAGGAGCTTCGCGTGATGAGGTTATCTATAACTCTCTCATTATCACTATCATATTTTGTCATGATTTTCCTATAATATATGCCTTAAATTAAGCTCATTGTATTAATGATTATCTGCATAAAGGAGGGCTAAACCACCTTTCTTCAATCTATTTATTTTTCTGAGCCCAATGAGATTATTGCGTCTCAATCATGGCTTGTAGGTTATTTAGGAGCGGCAAGTTCCTTGATCACAAGTTTATACATACAGGCGGTGAAAGAAGAGTATCCAACCCAAAACCTTAAGGCAATGGATGGAGTGGCCTAAGGCTTGATAAACCCCTTTGGAAACTCTTACATAACAGATGAGGGGAGTGTATTCTTTAACACCTTCTTGCATGTGTAACCCCGTTGCGTTTAACCGTGCACTGAATTTTGTCCTTTTTCTTGAGAAGATTTAAGAGTGGACCTAATGTGTGTATATATATATAGAGAAATTAGGCTCAACAGACTAAAGAGTGGGCTGCAACTAAGAGGATAGTAGGCTCAGCAGGCTAAGAAGTGGGCCGGGCAAAGTTTGTAGCTCAATGGGCTGAATAAAGAGAGAGAAGCACAACGCAACTCCATAGGTTGAGTTGAGGGAGAGAAGCCCAGAGCAATAGAACTAGAAGAGAGAATGCGGTTATGCAAACGGGCTCACCAAAGTTTGGCTATGATACCACGTAAAGAAATCGACCTTGGGCCTGACTCAATCTAAAAAGATAGCTCATGAGGTAGGATTTCCGAAAACCTTATAAGGAGACAAACAACCTATACTTACACCAATATGAGACACTTAAACGCCCACATGCCTAAGTCTGCCAATTGGAGCGTAGACAACATAATATGGGGGTCCAACATTGAGACACAAAATAACTGGATTTAGCTTGGCGCCAATATCAAGTTGAAATGTGTGACCATCTCATCTAAAAACTTAGGCTTTGAGAGAGAGCACACTTTTAATTTACTTAAATATGTCTTCAACACATCCCCTTACGTGCGGGCCTGATTCTTTTTCATAGCGCAAGCACGTAAAAATTCTTTTCAATAATGGGTAGCGGTGAATCTTGAACTACCCGTGCCTGCTCTGGTACTATTTTGAAGGAATCTGGGCATCCAACCAAAATCCTTAAGGCAATGAGTGAAGTGGCCTAGGACTTTATGTTTCCTTTGGAAATCCTTACACAACCACGAGGACAAGTGTATTCTCTAACACAGGATATTTAGAGCCTTCAGATTGAATTGTGAAATTTCAGAAGCTCTTCTTCTGTACAACTTACTCAGACACAGAGGCTCTGAGAGACACATACTATACTATGCATGTCAAAATGTCATCTATGTATTTTATTTAACATCAAAGCAACTGCTCCAATTCATCTGGTGTCATGGTTTCTTGTAAGAGGGCGGACTCTGCTTAGATCTTTTCCCTTTTCTTCAGTTGTAGGCTTGTAGCAATGATCTTTAGAATGACAACCAATGTGTTATGTAATATCTAATGTTACTCATCCATGACTAGAGAGAATACAAATCATTGGAAGATTAAGGTTATCAACTCAACTGAACAGAGAATTGATGGTTTCTGCCCTCTCACTCCAAAGGAGGTTGGATTATTTCTTCAGGCTCTTGGTTATCCTCTGTCAACATTGATTTATATTGCTGCCGGAGAAATTTATGGTGGTAACACTCACCTCTCAGAGCTCACATCTCGCTTTCCTAATGTTATTTTCAAGGTTTGTACCTGCACCTTATCATTCTGGAAGTCATGCGGCTCGAAGTTAATTTCTTTCTCAAATAGTGTATTCTACCTTCCAAACCAAATGTCTTACTGATGGCAGGAAATGCTGGCAACGCCAGAAGAACTGAGAGGGTTTGCCAATCATGCCTCACAAACTGCAGCACTCGATTATCTCATCTCTGTAGAGAGTGATGTTTTCATTCCATCACACTCAGGTAATATGGCAAGAGCAGTTGAGGGGCACCGCAGATTCTTAGGCCACCAAAAAACAATCACTCCTGACAGGTACTCAAGTAATTAATGAAATTTTTCTGTTGCTTTTGGTTGGTATAGAGTTTCAGTTCGTGTGGTTTGCAAGTGAATTTTTTTTTTGATTTTATCAATTTTAGAAGGGTGATTTTTCAATTTTTCTTTTAGCACTGCTAAGCTTGGAATTTTTCTTTATTGAGGTGTTACCAGTGCCTTCATTTAGGGCACAAATCAACCATTCTTTTATATTTTAATGCTTCACAAAGAGGCTACGAGTACATGGGATAGAAATAGCTGAAAAGTTCACCTACAAATCAGGGAGTTCTATGGTAACATGAAAGTTCATCTTGACTGGCATGTTGGAGGTGCTGTTGGGGAAACAGCTTAGCATTCTTATAGGGAAGAGTCATATAGAAGTCCTTAAAACTTTGAAATTGCGCAAGTTGGATTAAGTTTTGTGGCCTTGGACTCTTCATTTACATATTAAAAGCAACATAATTACCTGCTAAATTATGCAGGAAAGGCTTAGTTGAAATATTTGATAAGCTGGAAGCTGGTCAGCTTGAAGGACCATCATTTTCACATCTTGTCAAGCATTTGCATAAGAACAGGTGATAATACATACGCAATGGATACTCACATTATCGCTTGCACTTGTTCACGTAATTGTTTCTGTCAAAAGTTTTTTCTCTCTGTTTCTGTTACTTGGATGCAACAATGGACCCTGGGAGTAATAACTTCAGGAATTGAACCAAGGGACTTTACTCTGGCATTGGCTGCTACTAGATTCCTTGTTAAAGAATAATTTTAGGTTGGAGATATATAACCTCCCACATCGATTGTACAAGAGCTTCTAAGGTGTTCATAATGGTCAAAACTTAGATTCTTTTACATAATATGAGCACCAAAATTTGGCAAGCTCGTTCTCTCACGTATAGGTCCTAGAAAACTTAGGTTTTTTTCATTGTATGAGCACCAAAATTCGGTAAGTTGGTTCTTACGTATAGCTCCTCTCTCATAATCATTTTCTTTGCACTCTGACCAGTTGTTTATTGTTCTCTTTATTTTATTGCTTTGGACTTCTTCCTCAATGCAATCGATCAAGCTACTAACTCCAGCTTTATGCCAGCATCTCACTCCGTTGAGCTTGTTCTCTCTCTCTCTCTCTCTCTCTCTCTCTCTTTCAGACCCCCTTTCTTAGATTCTTGAGCTTATCGCTCATCCCAAGTCCACTCTTTTTCCTGTTGAACCTCTGTGAGCTCCTTAAAATATAGTCGAGACTCGAGAGAAAACAGGAAAAGAAAAAAAACAAGAAAAGCCAAAAAAATAAATTATCTTCAGTACACGTCTAAACCCGTAAATCTGGGTTATACATGCAAGATGATGTTACAGATAAATACCATCCCATGTCAGTTTTAGATGGTTTTTCCAAGGGATTTGTAACGGTTTTGGATTATTTCACCCATTGTTTTAAGATTTTGGTTTTGATACTATATTCTTTCACATTTTAATCATACCACGTGCTCTTCACATTCTGGTATTAGATATTAGATCATTTTGATTCAAGCAGCAGAAATCTTACTTTAAAGCTGGAATCTTGTCAAAGTATTTCCAAAGAAAAATGTTTCAACTAATCATTTCAAAAACTTTCTTGATTTAAAGTCTTTTCAACCTGTTTCCAGGAAACTTATGTAACTAGTAAACAACAACCGGTTTTAAACTGTTTCGGAGGGAATTGTAAAGCCTTCAACAATTACAACCATGTTGCTTGATAACTGATAAATTCCGGACTTATAATTAATACATTACAGGCAAGGCGCTCCAAGAAAAAGAGCTGGTGCTCCCCCGGGAGTCAAAGGTCGAGCAAGATCAAGATTGGAAGAGCCGTTTTACCAAAATCCACATCCGGAGTGTATATGCAGTTCTAGAACCCAAGTGGGAAAATAAAGGGGTTACTTCTTGTCTGCTTCCAGCCAGCAGGTCTCTCTTGTTCTCAGTCATCTAAATGCCTGAAATCATATTTTTTCAACCATCTTATTCAACTTCAGTTTCTCTGTTCCTGATTATTTGTTGGCCATTTTATCTATGGTGGGATGGCGGTAACTAAGCTTTCAATTTTTGTACATTAGACTAGTGATTAAGTATCTTGGTACATATGCAATATGGCCTTTTCTTGTCCATCTCTGGCACTCAATCCCTCTTGCACCAAATGTTTTTCAGTATTTATCTTTGTAAACAAATAATGGTATATTGGAATTAGGAGCAAAAACTGTTTAATGTCTTGGTAAATTGCTTCTGGGGTACTTAAATATTCAAAATAATCTCTTCCTACAAACTGTTTAATACACATTCTCCTTAGTTTATTTGTCCAATTAAATGTTAGACTGACACTATCTTTTCCAACAATGAGAATGAACATTCTGTTTCTAATGGATTAAACATGAATTTCATAACAATCATAAGAAAAAAGAAAATCTTTAAAATATAGTTTAGCTCATCTTATTCTTCTAGTTTATTACATATAATAACACTTGTATTTACCCTACCAAAGATTAGACAACTGCACGATCATATTGGAGAATGAGAACAAACATTCTCTTTCCAATAGTATAAGTTCAGCGATGTGATTTACAATGTTCAGACTCTAAATGGTACAAGATTAGGGTTTATTTCTTCAGGTATCGACTGTTGAGGCGGGAACTTGGGAAGGTGGCCAGCAATGCGCTTGGCTGTCTCAAGGTACTTTACATACCTGCAAATTTGGCCTTCTTTTGTGATGCCTTCTCCATGGTTGTGGTTTTTTGTGTTGTGGCAATCTAGGTTCAATCCCTTCATTGGCAAGCCACAAAAATGGCAATTTTGATCTTTCCCAATGAGTGCCTCCTCGAAAGCCTTTTTTTTGAAAGTCCAAGCACCACTCTTCCAGTTGAAATGATAAATTGGAAGGTACCTCTGTCCATAAATGGCTATGAATTCTATTGCTTCTATAATGAAGTCAAATTCTTCCTTGGACATGTAGTAGGGAAAACTGACCCTTGTCCATCCCGGCTTCACTCCAGTATAGCCCTGTTAAATGTCAAATAAATACTGAATGTCTAAAACCTTGAAATTCAATTATAGTGTACCCAACAATCTACTAACCAAATGTGCCCTCCATATAGAGATGGAATTTAGAAAACTTAGTGAACTACCTAAGATACATATGTGTAAACTGTGGACTCACCAACTCGATTGCAGCTTTTAAGGCAAGTGACTGAGGCTCATCAATCTTGAGTAAGGTATGTCCATAGGGTCCTGCACAAGCACACCCTCCTCTAGCCTGGATACCAAATAAGTCATTAAGCAGTTTAGCGACAAAACGGCCATGAAGAGGCTTGCCTTTCTTGTTCCCTGTCTCTCTCCATAGGTAAAGCTTGTTGTTTTCACCACTCTTATCACTTGATGAAGAGTAAGTTGTGGTATAAACGAGAAAAGAAACCACAGCTTGTCTCTTGGCTGTTACATTTCCCAAAACCCTTATGTTAGGATTTGGGAGAAGCCTTTCTAGTGCAAGTTCAATGTAGCTGCGCTCCATTCTTTCAATTACTTTGTGACTTATGAACTCTTTCACCCAAAATGCTAGAGCTGTTCTCACTTTCTGGATGATTGGTGGTGTTCCAGCCTCCTCCCTTTCTTCAATGTTCTCCACATAGATTGTATCCTGGTAATTGTATCATAAATCAAGTAACTATCCTTCGAGCTGAGCTGAAAAGAAAAGAAAGTAAACAGAAAACATTTTCTGAAGAAAAACAGTTAGATGGGTCACTTAGTTATATAATTTATCTTGTCCAACATTTTTTATAGTAACCGGAGAAAAGTTGTCTGGTTTACATAATCTAATTTGATGTTCATAGTTTTTATTCTTAAAAGATTCGGGATGATATGGTGTTGCCCCATGCAGAGTGCCTTTTTGTAACTGAGAAAGAAAACAAAAGCAGCCCTCTGGGCTTTGGTCTAGTGGGTAAGAGTGTGGGTTCGTGTGGGTTAGGTGCATGTCATGGGTTCAAACCCTATAAAATCTTTTATTTAATTGGAGAAGTATGTAAAAATAGCACTGGTTAGCCACTTTTTGGGCGCAAGTGAAACTATAGAATATTGTCCTGAAGTTCAGTTTTTGCAACTTAAAGCTCCAGGACGGTGTCCTCAAGATTTTTCCAGAATATTTTTTGATTGCATCGATAAAAAGCAATGACAACAAGTCCTTCAGGTCCTTTCCAACAAGACTTTCATTTAATTCATTTTGTTTGCTCAATTTTTACACAAAGATTCATGGTTTGTTCCCTTTCTTTTTCTCCTTTTAGTTTTTGCTGTCTAGTGAAGTATATTATGATGAAACAATTATCAACTCTACGAGTGACAAACGAGCGGTCGGATCGGATATGGGCGGATTGAAAACAGATAAAATATCCGACCCGATCCATATTCAATACGAATAGAAAACGGATTAACCGACGGATAATATGGATATCCATGGCTTCTTGGATATAATCATTTATGGGAGAATTCCTAGTCTCTCAAACTTGAGGAACCCTCAATTTGAGTCTTTGTAAATGTAAAAGTTAAACCCATTGATTATTCATTTTTTAAGTGGATAATATGGATCTTATCCATATTTAAAAAGTTCATTATCCAACCTATTTTTTTTTTATCCATTTTGCCACCATTAATCAACACGGAGAAATGAGAATGCACCCATTTGAGTATTTCACCTGCAGCCACTTGGTTTTGTCATCCCAGCTTCTTTTGCTCATTGCAGCTACCTCACTTTATAGTAGCATCATTTAGCTTCCGTTTTTATGCTATCCGCACCCTTAACATCTTAGTCTAAAGCAACTCTGGTGAACTGGGAAAGCTTTTCTTCGGTTCCTTGAGTTTTAAGTTAGAAAACTGAATTCTAGGATAATGTCCTTTTTTAGCTTGTTCTTCAGTTTCGAACTCCAGGACAATGTCCTAAAGTTTTAAGATACAAAAACTGAACTCCTTGACAGGGTGCTGAAGTTCAAAAAAAGAGAAAAAGATGACGAAGTGAGTCTCTGCTGCTTTTTAAGTTGAAAAAATGGCTAAATTTCAACTAGTTTAGGTAATGTGGCTAATTTTCAGATAGTACCCGTAAAAGTGGGTATTTGTGATTTTTCTCGAGAAGGGTAGATGGACAATCCATTATTTTATCAAAATTTGAACTGGAAGATAGTTTTTATAGCGCTATTTAAGGCGTATCCACTTTTAAAAAGACATACCTTTTCATAAAAGGGGTTGACAAAATCAACAGTTCCACCACCACAAGTTGAGGGAGGTGAAGTTCTCAGCCGATAGAGTGCCTTGTTCATTAAAAGGATTCCCGGTGTCCCTGGCCCTCCAAGAAACTTGTGGGGACTAAGGAAAACAGCATCATAGCCATCTATTTCTCCTGATCTCATCTCTATTTTTGCATAAGGAGCACTGCAAGATGAGAACAAATAGTTAAAGAATATATACCCAAAACTGGAAATATGTAGAAATAGGACAACAAATAGGATTTAAATTACATACAGTAAACCAGAAATGTAGTTTAACCTATGATAGCAGCAGAGGTGGATCCAGGATTTCAAGAGGATGGGTGCACTGATGTAAAGAGGTGCACCTAGAATTTATATTTGACAGGTTTAACTTTTGTCTCTTATCATGAACCCATTGTAATTTTGAAATTATAGGTTCAAAATTATATTATTTTTGAAATTTTAATAATTTTTACATATATTTATACTCCATGCTGAAAACAAGACCGTTCAGAGTGGGATTTGAACCGCAATATCACTTGTAACGGTGCACCAAATAATAATTATACCATAAGAGTCTTTGAACATGGGTGCACATACATATATTTAAGTAATTTTGAAGAAATATAACATTATTATACATGGTTTAGGAAAAAGACTATGGGTTCACGTGAACCCATACCCCTCAAACTGGATACGCCTCTGGATAGCAGGTGGATTCGCATCTCTTACAACTAACACAGTCCTCTATTCGTGGAGCATAAGCAATTTGTTAGGCCTTATAACCGTCCCAATGTATGATTTCTAATACATCTATGGAGCAGGCTCGGACACATTAAGTACATCATATATATTCGTGGAGCATAAGCAATTTGTTAGGCCTTATAACCGTCCCAATGTATGATTTTTAATACATCTATGGAGCAGGCTCGGACACATTAAGTACATCATATACACATATCATAAGGGGTTACTCATCTGAGACTCTCGATTTCTCTCCTGCGAGAGAATCAGAACTGTGTCCGTTCCTGAACTTGAGGTTATGCCCGTTCCATGCGAGGTCCTCATTTCATTTCGAAATTACTTTTCTATGATAAGCATGTTTGTACATGAGCATAATCCATAAGATCCGGTACAAGATTCTGTTTTATCTAGTTCACTTATAGGATTTTATAATATGTAAATGTATTCATTTCTACTATCAGAGTGAAACAATGAATCTAAAGATTCTAGGATTCCTCCCGGAGGCAAATACTTTTATACATACTTCTTTTGCATGATCCACACCATCTTCTATTCTTGTAAGATGACTCACACTAATTAACAGCCCGTCATGTAGTAGATGACTCACACTAATTAACAGCCCGTCATGCACTACATCATAGGCACATTGGGAGCAGAGATAATTGTACCCATATACATAAAAAAATTACAGCACAATCCTCGGGCTTTATTTGTAAAGTCTATATTCCTTGGCAATCATAGCCCAAAGATCTATGAATTAACCTATGCTTGACTAGTCAAGCAGGCAAACGAACAAATGAGCTTGCATCCGATTCGAGGGGATACTTCCCCAACTAACGAAGAGATCTTGGCGGAATTGCTACATATGAAATTAAGCATAGTTTTGCAAAGAAATAACCTACTTGTTTTTCCTGAAGATATGGGAAACATGTTCAATATCATTTGATTGAATGATTGACCCTACCCCTTGCTGTTTGAAGAAACCCTTTACTTCAATTGGTATTCGATTTTCTTTAATCAGGTTGCGAAGTAATGCTTTATCATAAAGATTTTATTATAATTGCATTTACACTGACGGTGTTACTTACCTTGTGGCAAAATCAAAGCAAGCATAAGCTCCATTTTTGTGAAGAAGACGAGCGATGGCTCTCGTATCAGAGTAAGTTCCAGTGACATTACTACAGGCTGAGAATGAACCCAACAATGGCCTATTCATAGACTTGTAGAACTCAAGCTGAA